GGGAAGAGTTCCCGCCTTGCAGATACAAATTCTACTCAACAGATTCAAAAGAGCTTATTTATCCGTCAGACTTCTTAGTTATTCACAGAACTTGGGTCTGAGAGGGCATATCGTTCTGAACTTCACACTGCTGGCGGTAGGTGATTACCAGCAACCAAGCTTGGTCGTTCAGGTACCTTTACATGATTTTATGCTTTACTATCCATAGAAAAGAAAAAGAAAACAGAAATGGAAAACAGAAAAGAAAAAGAAAACAGAAATATAAATTGACGATTAACTAATCTTCTGCCAAAATCTGTGAAACAACTTATAGTTTAATTAGCTTTATCCTGCTCACACAAGATTTCAGCTCTCTGCTGAGAATCCAATTTTGCCTGTTTTCTTCCAAGCTAAATACCAGGCTACAATAACATCATGCAAGACATATTGTGTATACATTAATCATTTTTTATTTTCTTTATTGAATCTGATCCCTATATGAGACAAAATACTGAGTTATGTAAGGGTACCATAAGGAATTAAGAGTAAGTGAAAATTCAAAAGAAAGAGTAATAATAATAACACCTTTACCTTTTAACTGGCTAAATTTTCTCATTGGCTCTGATTTCTACAAGAATTTCATAAAAGTACAGACGATAATTGTGCTAATAAAGAGGAAATTATACCAACCTATAATTAGAGTAATAAGGAAAAAGGTACAGCAGATCATAATTGAACCAATAAGAGGAAAATATAATCACGTTTAATGGCTTATATGAGTGTTAGTGTCTTCTGTATGCTTAATAAATTGGTATCCATTTTCATGGTATGTATCTAACACGCCTTTCCTAATATTATCAAATTACCCTTCAGATGTTGGGAACTTCTGCTAGTCCTGGAAGCTCCTCCAGAGTGAGACTTCTTTGAATAATTAGAATAACAACAGAATTTTAGATAGGTCTGACCACCAACTACAATCACCTCTAGCAACACTTAAGCTCTCTTCAGGTTTATTTAGGCTGTCCCTGTTCTACATTCATGGGTATCCACAGGTGTTGTGCGCAGTACCGAGTATGAGATTTGCGAAAGAACTACAGAAAGGGCAGACGGGTGCAACATTTCGGGGTCACTGCATTTGGGCGTGGAAAGATGCTCTGCAAGCAGGGAATACTCAACTTAAGAGGCAAGGTAATGGTTTATTTCCTAATACGCCCAGTAGAATAACGTGAATGCAAGCCCCAAAGCTGAGCATCAGCAGTTCCTTGCTGCTTCTGAGCTCTCATCTTCTGTGTTTTTTACCTGAAGATTTCACAGCTTGCAGCTATGGTGTTTTTTCCCTCTGAGTCCTTGAGCTGCTGACTGTCCCCATCTCGGCAATCTTACCCCTGTCTGCAATTTCACCTTTTGTATCTTGTACAGCTTGAGTTTACTTGTTTTCCTCGCAGCTTTTTCTCACAATGTAGCGGTTTTCTCAGAGGTTCAAGCCAAGGTCACACAGATGCTTGGTGTGACAACTCAGCTGGGGATCAGAGATGGCCGAGCCCCCCCGAGGGAGCTTACCAAGCCTAGAGTTTAAAAAAACCTCCCTGGATTTTCATACAAATGACATTTCATATAGTTTAGCTATAAATCGCCTTTTGATTTTCCTCTCAACAATTAAAAAACCAAGAATATTTCCTACTTTTACATACTATTAGCATGTAAATATTTCCTTACACATGCACACGCTTCTTACATGATACCTTTTGCTTTGAAGTGACATTTGCAAAGCTTTTCAGCTCAGTTATCCTTACAGGAGCCCAGGTGCTCTTTCTGAGGCTGTAGATGACTTGAAAGGGTGGGATCAAATCTGGTGAATGGGACTCTTCACGTGCAAGTAGACCCTGAAAGCTCAGAGGACACCTTGGGAGAGAAGCACGTGTTTTCCACTAGAGATATGAGATACATCTTTTTCCAAACAGTTTGGTCTCTCATACATTTCTCAGCTCTCTTAGGTAAGTCCTGAAGGTAACCCAGAATGTGCATAATTTAGGATATTCATAAGTGTAAATATCTGCATATGCTTAGGTAATATCCTGAAGGGCAGTTTAACAATGAACTAAATCACAGCAAAAATGTTTGATATTTCTACAATAAATACTGTTTAAATTCTCTAATCTTCTCAGCCTACTAAATGTCAGACTTTCTTAGAGCTGGTCTTTGCTTTCATTTCTTAAGAGACCTGGACACCTCTCATATCAAAATTCCTATGTCAGTCTGACAACTATTTCATACACATGAAGTAATGAAAAGATACTTCTATCTTTGGTGGTGATTTTTAAGAACCTTGCCTTAAATAAAAATTTACATAACCTGAAAATACCCCAGCATTGTAGATAGGTAGATAGATGGGTAGAAATATTTAAAAGTACCACTGCGTGTGCATGTATATACATATGTGTGTGTGTGTGTGTATATGTAAGTATAACGGCTCTTACATACACACACATCCCCCCCCCTATATACGGTGTTGTATCTGTTGGTTTGTACTTCCTTTCCTTTCGAGCTCCCAAAGGAAAACTGAGAAAATGACCACTCTACATAAAATTACTGAAGACATTAAATGTATTTCATCTCTTATTTTCATGCAGGTATTTTTGCTAAGCTAAGTAATAATTAAAATAAGTGTTTCCTCTCACAGCACACCGTTGTGAAGCTCTAATCTATATGTTAATTTTTTAATTAAAGGGAAAAATTATAGAAGAGGGCTTAGTTTTCTTAAAAAGTACAGTATAATTGTCTAACAGTAGACTAAAGTATAACAGTTAAGAAGCGTAACAGTCTAAACAGCCTGTCCTAATGCCCCTCTTCCCTGAAGACACTCAGGTAACCCCAAGGCTGAACTCATCGTTTCCTACAACCCAAGAAACCGCTTGAGACCGTTGATTCACTTACCCCAGGGTTACCTTGTCAGAGTCCATAGAAATGCTCCACATTTTGCATTTAGTGACTGTGTCTGCCTCAGAGCTGGAGGCTGTTTCAGGTGCCTTGGGCACTGCAAAGGGGAGCAGAAAAGGGCGAGGGGAGGGGAAGGGAACGGTGGTGACAGCAGATGTGGGACAACATGGCCAGTACTGGAAAAGAGACGAAGCCAGAAAGAACATTTTAAGTGTTTCAAGCCTCCTGCTGTTTCTCTGCTGCTCAAGGCAGTGATGAGGGTTGAGAATACAATAGTTTGCCATAAGAATCAGAAATACCTCATTAAAAGTGGTCTCTAACAAGATTTGGGGCTTATAGTTCATTCCTCCGATGTCACAGCAAATGTGTGTCACCTGGCCACATTTCCAAATGGGTCGAAGAAGCACTAGAGAAAGTCAGGGAATGTGCACATCAGAGAACATTGAAAACTGCCTTATTTTGAAGAGCACAACTGAGCGTTTCCTGCAGGAAACTGAACTGGAAATGTTATGATCAGCAAGCGCTGCCACTAGAGTTGTTTCTGAACTAATCCTATTTTGTTATTAAATATTTCTATTTACATTACTGAGATAACAACCTCAGCTAAGAATTCTGAATTCCCAACTAGCAACTGTATTGGACACTCCCATGCTGAAAGCTTAGTGATTTATAACCCAGTTTAGGTTTAGACTAGGCCATGTTCTCTCCAATGGATATGTCCCTGCAATATGCCTATCATAAAATCATAGAATTGTTTACATTGGAAAAGACCTTTGAGATCATCAAGTCCAACTGTAAATCGTATCAAATGTCTGATCCTACAGGTAGATTGTAAAATTACTGGGACAAACTAAATGACCATGTTTTCTTGAGCTTTTCTCTATTAAAGTACTATTTCACATGCTAGCTTCTAAAAATCATTTGTACTCTCCATGTTAAGGTCTATAAACTTCATACTTATCTTTTTATTTCTGCTTTATTCCTGTTCTATGCATTGCCAAATATTGCTTTTGTGTAATTGAAACAGAGCTGTAGTTTGATTATTAAACAGAGGTAAAGTAATTGTCTTCAGCTTTAACGGGGGAAGTAAAGGCTCTCGGTAGAAGAAAGTCTTAAATTGTGGAAAAGATGCTTTTTTCAGAGCAGAGCTAGAGAGCATATGCTGCTGGGGGCCAGTAGCCCTACCACCAAGAGGTGGCCTTCTGGTTTATGCTGGTGGCTCAGGGATGTGGGTTTGACAAGACATTTTGTAACGGGGGTGTATGTAATTTATTTACCTTCTCCGCCTCTCTTCTCTGTTCTGCCTTTGTTTGTACCTTGAAATATTTGCAATTTAAATATCCTCCCTGCGCTGTGGGACGTGTTCCCAGCTGCCTGCAACCTTGAGAACTCTGGCCTGTGGTTTAGACTGGCTTTGCACCTGCAGTGCTGAATTCTGGTGGAAACAATGCTTAAGAGGTTCGGGCGAAAGGAGGGTGTCAGATGTACCAAGCAGCATGGGCGATATCCTATTTGAAGCCTAAGAAGACAGAGAAAACAGCATGTGACACCATATGGGTACCATTTTTAACCCTAACATCAGAAGAGGACAACGCAGATTTCTACAGAAGCCTACAGATGGCCATGAGTCAAGTAACACAACTGATGCTTGCCAGTTGTTGACATGTCTGTGCAGAGGACGCTCCTTTTTTATCTGCCACAGTTGCTTAAGACCAAAAATAACTACTTATCATACAGTGAAAACAAAAGTTTTAGGTACTTTAAAATCGTAAGCGTGAGCTGAACAACAGAAAAAAAAGTGCAGGTCAGATCAGTGCTCTAAGCAAGATGAGGGAAGGAGAGGCAGGATTTTACTACATTTATAACTCTGTTTATCTTTCTAGATCATAAAATCGTTGCCCCGTGCTGAGAACAAGTCGCTGCATCTTCCCTTTCCTATAAAAAGCTCATGTCCGATTTTCTCCAAAGCGGGTTTCTCTCCGTAGCGTTTCTACAACTATACCACTAGCCTTTGGGCAGATGTCAGACCGAAAGGCACGGCCGCCTGCAGATCAAGTTGCTGCTGCCAGCTCTCGCGAGCTTTGTGTCAGAAACAGTTGATTATAATGTCAGTACTGTCCAATTTACGGGCTTAAAGCAGCAGCTGCATACTGCATTTTCCCTGAAGTATTCAAAGATCCTGACTCTTAAAAACTTTGTAGTTCTTGTAATAGAAGTGGGGTAAGTGATTCTCTATTTACACGTCTCTGTCTGCCAGGATAATTTACAGTTCAGCTTGATTTGCACGGGGATTGTGATCTTTTAAAACATTACGCTCTGCCCATTTGTTGCTCTCTTGGGAAAACTCACTCTGCTCTGCAAATGGAACGAGTAAGCAGGCGTGTGTATCAGACCTTGGTATTATTCAAGGGATCCTCGGCTAAGTAAATTAAGCTGAGCTAGAAATCACTTATTAATTCAAGCATCTTTTCTATTTAAATAGTGATTATGTAGTCTTGTGTATAGAATTTTTGGCTGGGTAAAGATTTGCAAGGAGAAGAAATAGTAATTGAAATAAATTGTGTTCCCTTGCGGAATAAGAATACAAACCTATAGTCTGTTTAACTTTTGCTGGAGGAAACTACTACAGAAGCAGCTTTCTAAAGTATGCAGATACAGTAGACGATGTATCTCTGCTCAGCTGAGGTTGACGAGCGAAAGCAATCTTCTGACCTTTTTACTCTCAGAGGAATAATCAAGTAATGTTTGTTTTGCTCAGTGTGCTTCACGTTGTTGAGTTTGTTTTAATGCAGCATTAAAAACCTTATTAAATGTAATATTTGCCATACACTCAAGATATAATAACCCTCTGTCACTTGCTACTTTTATTAATATTAGCAGAGTAACTTGAGACTAGACTAGTCCTCTCACTCAGTATTACAAAACTTGTGTGTTTTTCAAGCTTAATCTATTTCAAACTTTTGCTTTAAAATGCCACCTGTTCTTTTGCAGAGCTAATTAAAAAGGTACAGAATTGAATTTTTTGTGAGTTTTTTCTTCCCAAAGTCCTTGTCTAAAACTTCTTAGGGTCAACAGCTATGCCTCTGTGTTTTGCAGTGCTACAGCGTGTTCCTCTCATCCCATTCGTTTTTAATTAACAGGAAAGTGCAGTGAGGAATTAATTTTAATCCCTATTTAGATATTAAAAGCTTTAGGAACTTTAACGTCTCTTGCTTTTCTTAATGTCATTTTCTTTTCTTCATAATGACAATGTTTGAAATCTCTTACTATTTCCAGCTTGTTGTTGTGGTGCAGTCCTGGGTGGTAGGTTAGAAGTGCATTTGTGAAGAAAGAGGGTCAGTGAAACAACAGACCTATAGAAATTACTTCTCCCATCTCACAGCGCTGTGCATTGAGTGCACAAATACCCAACTAGATCCCTACTATTAACATTTTCCACAGCCACCCCAGTTGCCTCGATTGCCTGTGAGAGAGGGTGAAAGAACAGCCCCAAGCTTTTCTTTGCATACCTTTTCTCACCCAGATCTTAAAAGATTTTACTACAGGGATGAATGGAACAAAAGATGACTGGCATATAGAGAGGGGAGCCAAGTGCCACTATATGATGTGAGCCTCTTGCGTGGGTCCTGCAGACTGCTGGAATGAGCCTCTGCTTACTCCAACTCTGCAGGAGTTTCTGGACCATGTGAGTTGTCCAGATTGACCATGCACATCTCTAAAGTTTGGCATCATGAGGGCATTTGCACGTTCCCACAAGACGAGCTGAAGGCTAGGTGGAGTGTTAGACCAACTCTGAAGTCTATCGCCCCCAGTCACCACCTTATTATTTTTTTTGGTTGTTTAATAAAGAGACAAGAGCGTAAATATTTATGTTTTGTTAAATATATCTGTATTCCATCTGCTTAGATGAATGCTAAAAATATTGTCTCCGAAGATTCTTCCCTGCTCCTTTGATGCCATCTCAAAGTTAGGAACCTCTTTGCACAAAATGTTCCTTTTTCGCCCCCCTTTCGTTTTCTCAGTTGATTTCCAAGTGTACACACACAAGCAGGAGAGCTCAGATTAGGCCACAGCTGTACTTTCCACAGAAATTAGCCTCATTCCTTTTAAGGACACAAGTGCTCCTCATTAACAAAGAATGGCCTGTTTAAAGTGGCAGGACAGAGTACGCTATGTATGACAGGGTAACAAGCAAAAAATAGAAGGAAGCTTTGTTCAGCATTTTCAAGTATGTTATCCATAGAAATGGGCTTATGCAAATAGTCTTTTTCAGACTTTTCACTTTCAAGGGCAAAGATATTGGGTTTTTTATAGAATTTAAAAGTTGGGGTAAATAGGGCTATTAGTACGCTTAGACGTGGTATATAATCAACATCTATACATTTAACTTTAAGATAATATTTACTATCACTTTGAAGCGTTCTCAGGAAGCGAAGACCAGGACATACTTAGATTATTAGGCACCACCTACATACATTAAAAAAAAAATCATTGGCTTTTTAGCATTTTAATTCTAAGCAGTAGAAGTATGACTGCTTCTCATGACTACGGTTGTACACTTGTTTAACATTCTTTAGAGAAAAGAGATCTTGAATGAAATATGTATTCAGGTCTTGGCATACCTCTGTATGCGGTTGCCCACAGGAGCTGATGAACTGACAGTCCGTTCAGAGGTCTTTCATGTACTTCATTTGTTAAAACATCTTCAGATCTTAAGACATATGAGTAGGACAGTGAAATGACCCAGTTCTTTGAGTTTATAGCAATGCCATCTCAATGGTTTTCTTCAGCTCAGGCATCTACTTTGACACAAGCATATAGTTCAAAACTTATATGGACCTGGAAATCCTTGGATTAAAACTTGGCTTCAAGTTCTTTTTCAATGTTCACAGGATGCGTGTTTATGTGTGGAAAAATCTGTGCCTAGTGATGTTTGTTATCACTCTTTATTGATTTGAGAACACAAGTTGTCAAAGTAACCTCTAACAGAATAAGGGCTAGTCAGGCACGATATTTTCCGTCACAGATCACAAAATGTCCTGTGGAAATGCAGGTGATTACGTCTTCTACTAATCAAAGTAGTCAGAGTCTGCTTATATGACTTTACCTTCCCTGGTCTGACTTCTTCAATTCTATGGCTTTTCAAGTGACAGAGATTTTCGGAAGCACTAAACACTAAACACAGTCTTTGCAACACAACCAACTAACAAGAACTTGTGGCTAAAGACTGCTGATCTTTGTGCAGCAGCACCATCTTATTTTCAATGCCTTTGGAATGACCTACACCCTTTTTTGATTAAACAGTTTTGGCTCTGGTACTGATACATTGCAATATTAACACTGAATTTCTTTTTTCCTGGGTCTCAGGCATCATGGTTTGGACAAATGGTACAAGTCTCTATACCAGATTTCTTATGTGGCTTCTTCTCCTGTATATGTTCATGAGGAAGGTAATGCCTGAAGATAACATCATTACAACCAAGAAAGGCAGAGTCAGAGGGATGAACCTGCAGGTACTGGGGGGAACGGTGACAACCTTCCTTGGAATACCTTATGGACAGCCACCCATTGGTAGACTGAGATTTCAAAAACCAGAACCTCGTGAAAAGTGGTCAGATGTTTGGGATGCCACAAAACATGCAAACTCTTGTTACCAGTCTATAGATAAAACTTACCAAGGATTTCCTGGAACAGAGATGTGGAATCCAAAAACTAACCTAAGTGAAGACTGCTTATACCTTAATGTGTGGGTTCCTTCTCCCAAACCCAAGAATGCAACTGTCATGGTGTGGATATATGGTGGTGGCTTTGAGTCTGGGTCGACTTCCCTACCAGTCTATGATGGCAAGTTTCTGGCCAGGGTAGAAAGAGTCATTGTAGTTTCTATGAACTACAGGACTGGTGCGTTAGGATTTTTGGCTTTGCCAGGAAACCAGGAAGCTCCTGGAAATGCAGGTTTATTTGATCAAAGATTGGCACTTCAGTGGGTCCAGGAGAACATAGCAGCGTTTGGAGGCAATCCAAAAAGCGTGACTATATTTGGAGAGAGTGCTGGCTCGGCTTCTGTCAGCTACCATATCCTTTCTCCTGGAAGCCATCCTTTATTCACAAGAGCCATCATGCAAAGTGGATCTGCAAACGCCCCTTGGGCTGCAATAACAGCGTCTGAAGCCAGAAACAGAACAGTGGCTTTAGCTAAAAAACTCCAGTGTCCCACTAGCAATGAGACACAGCTAATTCTCTGCCTCCAAGACAAGGACCCAAAGGACATACTGGAGAATGAGATTTTTGTAGCATATGACCCTCTTTTACACATATATTTTTGTCCAACTGTAGATGGTGATTTTCTCTCAGACATGCCAGAAACATTGATTGAGAATGGCCTTTTCAAACAAACACAGATCTTACTCGGTGTTAATAAAGATGAAGGATCAGCGTTTCTAGTATATGGAGTCCCTGGCTTCAGCAAGGATAACGATAGCTTGATCAATAAAACAGAATTTGAAGCAGCTTTACGGCTGTCCTTCCCAGAAGCAAGCCCGCTTGCAATAGAATCGATTATTTTTCAATACACGGATTGGGAAAATGAGCAAAAGCCAGAACATTACCGTGATGCCATGGATGATGTTATCGGTGACTACAATATAATATGTCCTGCAATGGAATTCGCCAAAAAATTTGCACAAGTAGGACACAACGCGTTCTTTTATTTCTTTGAACACCGATCCTCAAAGCTCCCTTGGCCGGAGTGGATGGGGGTAATGCATGGATACGAGATCGAGTTTGTGTTCGGACTGCCCCTAGAAAGAAGAGTGAATTACACCAAAGCTGAAGAAATCTTAAGCCGGACCATGTTGAGATATTGGGCAACTTTTGCGAAAACTGGGTAAGTTTACTGTTGAAGTTTGTTTGATTGGTCAGATGCTTATTGTTTCACAGGTGGAAAAACCCTGGCTGTTTTGATGGTGGTATGAAGCCTGATGAGAATGACAAGGAAGGATTAACTGTTCAGCTATCTAGAATTCCTGTTTTAGTTCTGAAAAAACAGCACCTTAGTAAAACAAACTCTTGATGAGTAGCTTATTGTACTGGATAATCTTATGAAAACTATGTGTACCCACCCACAAAAACAAATATGAAACATTTCTTGCCATGGCAATAGTTCTTACAAGCTTTACAAAGTATTTCCTATTCTGGGAAAGACTTCCAACAGTAGTAATAAGAGCAAAAAAACCAATTTCCTTTAAGATGCAATTTGCTCAGAACATGCAGGTGTATAATATGGAGGTATATTATGTTCATATGATGAAGTGATTGGATTTGTAGGATGTTCTTTTCAGAAAGCCTATCTTCCCATGTGTACAGTAAGTATAATCCTGGGTTTCACTGAAGCCGATGACAAATCACTTGCTATTTCCATTAGACTCATCTTTCAGTGAAATATGTCCTAGCCTGTACAAGAAGCAAATAAGCATATTTCATTTGGATGTTTGAAATGGATTAAATACAGCCCCTCATTCAGTCTGTTTAGCTGGCATCCACGAGAAGTGAGGCAGCCCTTGCACTGCTCGGCAGGGTTGTGGGGCTCTCTCAATGCAACATGCAGTTTGAAAGGAAAAAATTTCGGTGCAGTAAGAAAAACATCCACTACTACAGTTGTGTATCATTAGTCTCAAGGCTGCAAGCCTGATGGGATGGGGAAGTCTGGACTTCTCAGAAGCTTGGTTTGTGCTCTCTCCTGAGAAAATTATATGTATAAAAATCTGTACCTGTGAGAACATACAATCAAACACTTAACTCACACTTTAAAAATCTTTCCTTAACCTAAATTTTTAAATCCTGCATTAATTTTACTTCCATGGTGGACTTTTCCTTTGATTTGTAAAGAATACGTAGATTTGTAAAGGCTGAAATCAACTTTGGAACAGGATCTAACTATTTTTCTCAATAGAACAGAAATCAGAGGAGACCATTGTGCTCATTTAGTCCATATAACCTTGTACTTAACACAAGTAGGACTTAAACATTTCCGGTGATGAAAAATCCAGAACAAATGTTGGTAGGTTGTTCTAAAGCTTAATTACACTTAAAACAGTTACAGTTACAAAAGGGTATTGTGTTTTGTCCATTATACTCCTCCATTTTCCAGACACTATATTTTCTTTGACAATTTCTAAGCTTTACATTACGATTTGTGTTCCATATAGAGATAGTTCTGGGCTCTCTTCAAATAACCCTTAATCCTTTTGGGGTTTTGTTGAATAAAACAGGTTATATTATTGAGACTTTCCCTATAATACATTTTTTTTTTCAAATCCTTAAGAGTGTGATTTGTCAACACCTTGTTGGAACTTTCCATGTTGGGATTAAAAACTGTCATTCCCAAAGAATTCTAATTATGGCTGTCATCCATCCCCCCTAGTTCAACCTGATATTCCCCTGTTTACTCACCCAAGGAAAGTACTATTTGCCTTGACCGTGGTGTTACGGTAGGAGCTGCTGTGTGCCTGCCTGTGCGCAGTGGCTCTGTGATCTGCCCCAGTCCCACCGTCCCCCCTGCTGCAGTGGCTCTTCTTTGGCTCTGGAACACGCTGCACTTGCTGGCTGGCACCAGCCCGTGGGCAGCCTGGCTCCTGCCCGACCCCTGCGCTGTCCCTTCATGTTACATTCCAAGGTGAACAGACACTTTATTTTTATATGCATTCTTTTCTTGACAGATTAGCTTGTCAATAGGTGTGATTGATTGTTTGCCTTGATATATAGGAATATTAATTACATTAAAAAGTTCTATCCATTTTGTATGTTGGAGCCTCTAATATTTTTTTTTTATCATAAGTGATGAGCGTATTAAAACTCAGAAAATGATTATACAGATAGCTTAACTCATCAATACATAGTGTTTTAATACAAGTTTTATTCTTGTAAAACTTAATCTGAAATTTAAGCTATGAGCTCTTCCTACTTCCCTCTTTACTTGGAGCCTGATGACACCACTCCATACGAATTTGGTGTGGAAGATTTTAGCACCGAGAAAAGCATTCAACAGGGATGTATGTTCTGGAATTGAGCTGGGTGGTTGATTTATCAATGCCAAAAATACATCTGATTGATAGATTCCCAAGATGAAGTCTGATCAATGAGGTCAGGTAAAGCTTGTTGACAATTCCTGCATCGTGAAGACATGCTATGACAACATTGCTTTGAAGCTGGTGTCATTAGGCTCTTAGGGGAGAGCAAACTGGGTGAAGGCCTCTTATTACGTACTGAAGGTTTGCAACCTGCCCTACAGGTGTCTGCAGTTAGGATCTTACACCAGAAATAGTGGATCTTTCCATTAGACAGAGCTATTTCTTAGTAGGAAAAGAAAAATTCAGGTCTGTGTTAGATTTCTGTGAACTATTGGTTTCCACTGCATTATATATTTATATGTAATTTTTATGTACATATATACACAACTTTTACATGTATATATATAAAATTCTTAATAGCCTGCTGTGCAAAATAGAGTACACCGTCCCTGTCACTGTAGTTAGCTAAAATTAGACAACATAAGGTACATCCAGGTTTAAGTTTATAGAAAACAGTCTCGTCATCTAGTCTCATTATCATTTGCACTATAATTAGATTAGTCTACAGATCGAATTTCAAGTGGTTTCCACAGCAAACAGCAAATAATCCCTCCCTCTGCATCCACCACAAGTATCAAAAACATCACTATTAGGGTAAACGCAATCAGGCAATTTATGTAACAGTAAAAGATCAGATAAGTATTAACCCATTATGTGACACTTTCTTCGTCATCCAGAGCACAGACCCTTCAGGCTCTGTAACATGTTATTCATAGTATAAAAGGAGTGGGCAAATAACAAAAATTGTTAATAATTCCAAAAATAATAGCTGATCCTTGTTTTCCTGGCACCTTTGAGCACGTGGTAAACATTTATATAGAACTGGGTAAGCCCCGTTTAACATAATGTTTATAGCAAACTCTGGCATGATCAAAGGGCAAGCATCTGAGGGGAAAATTACTTTACCATTGATGTCTCCAGTAGATGAGGAGAAAATAAAGCAAAAAGATGAAAATCGCAAATACTGTATAGCACAATTTTTGGTGAGGGCGTTTGACCTAATATTCTAATGTGCAGAACTGCAAAAGCACAAGGGAGGGAAGGGCAGCCTGCAGAGGAAAGGGGACAGGTAGAGTCAACAAAGTCTGAAAGAAATCGGTTTTCTCCTGGTACTTTCTGGATGGAGGGACCAAGAGGTGGCTCAACTCACTGCATGCGGAGCTGTGTGCTCCATGTCACCGCTGGCACCGCAGCCCATGGTCTGTGTTTCTCACGAGGGGTCTTCAAACCCATACTTTGACCTTACTGATCTCTGGTTTTCGTTCTCACATCAGCACTAGGAATAAAAATGTCGACAAGAAAAGCCAAAGGTCCAAATGCCCAGTAAGATGATTTTCTGTTTCTTAGAAATACCTAATGTCATGTAAGAACAAAAGAAAAGATGTTAGGGTGAAAAAGAGAAGTGACTTCTTCAAAGGATCCCAAAAGTGTACATGAAATTCTTGATTTCTACATTTCTGACTTATCAAAAGGAGACTGTCAGCCAGCCCAAGAATTTCCCACTCGACCACCAGCCCCATCAATAGCTGATGCAATTTTCCAAATCTCTAGGCACTTCTGATTTCATGTCCTTGCTAAAAATAAGTATCAGTGACAAATGACCAATTTGCTGAAAAATTAACAGGGATAAAGATTTTCTGGTTTTAAATATGAACGGTGAATGGGTAACGTGGATGATTCAGCAGAAGAAGAGAACTGACGTTTCGCCTATGTGCTTGAAGTTAGATGCTGGTGTCCCTTACCAATATTCTCTTCAGAACCCAAGGGAACAGTACCATTTTTAGGAATCTGCCATATATTTACATGGTTCATATCATCTGTAAAGGCTCTGCTGAAATAATCATCTTTGACAATGAGCTACCGCTTTTCAGTCATGAGATTCCCTGCACATTCACTAACCCCTGAGAACTGTGGATACCATAACTACCTCTGTTACTGCATGTAGGGACAGGCTGCTCATCACTGTCTGCAGTATTTACCCACACAGATAATGTTAATTCATATCACACAGTCTGAGAAGAATGAAAAAAAAAAAAAAAAGTAAATTACTTCCTGGGTCTGACTGTTCAAGCAGTTAACATGGAGTAGCTTGAAGAAAGGGTGGACTGGGATGCCCATAAAATATCTGCTAGTGATGTTTAAGATCAGCCCTTTGGATTACTTCTAGCTGATGCCAATCCTGATGCTTACAGATAGACCACAGGACTCAGGTAAGCACCCACCATAGAGCTGTGGCTAAGCAGACCAGCTATGTGGGTAACTTACCCTCCAGTTATACACTCGCAGCCCCTCTTCCCCTCAGAAATATGCTTAGTATTTATTTCAAGAGCAGATCTAAGTAATCATTGCAGCAAGGACGTGCTACACGTGGAGAAAAACAGCATGCTCTGGTTCACAGTGTTTAGAAGAGTATCACTCCAGTAATCAGTGGTTTGGTCTGTGAGATGTGCAGCCAACTCCTGCACTTCCCAGGATGGCTGAAGTGCCTCTGCCCTCCGGTCCTGGGCATTCCCAGGCTCCCAGGTGTGCTGGTACCTGAAGTCCACCGGCAGATGAACACTTGTACCTTCCAATGACCTTTTCACTTTAAAATTGTATTCGATGTCTTGAAAGTGCATAGGTGGGAACTGTGAAGTCAGTCCTGGGGCAGATACTGGTGTTCCTTAAGGCACAGAGAAAGGTAGATGTTACTAAACGGCCAATAAATTCCTGGGATTGGAAGACAAAAGCTCCCAGGTGTGGCAATACTTTTTCCATC